TGGCTCACTATAGGGTTTAATTCTGAATTGGCTTTCACCACACATGTTGATGAGCATGAAAAAATTTATTTCTTAAAGCCCAGTCTGGATATGTCTTAAGTGTGATAACTTTTAGCTTTGCAGTTAGGCGATATTCGTATCATATGTTTTATTCTTTCTCTGTTTAATGTTACTTAAGTATAGATTGATGCCAGTTGAGTTTCTTTACTCAAATTTTTATTTGTACAATAGGAACTAAAGTAATACTTGCGTTGATCTGTGCAACAGTGAACACAGTATTTCTGAGAATGACCTTTAATCCTTGATGAACGGTACTGTTATGTTGATAAATTCATGATTACAAAAAATGATCTTAATGTAAGTTTTTATGTGTCAGTGAAAATATTAGTTATAAGATAATTTTAAGGCCAGCATGTAGGTCAATGAATACAGATGATTGCTGCTAGCCCAACCACCTAGGTTAGATCCCCAGAAAGCCAACTTTAGCAAGGTGTTCTCTGACTTTCATGTGCGTACTGTGAGTGCCTACTTTCCATGTCGCTGTCTCTATTTTTGTTTCTCGGTGTCTCTGTATCTGTGTATATCTGTCTCTGTGTGTGTGTGTGTGTCTTTGTGTCTCTTTTTTCTCTCTGTCTCTCTTTGTCTTTGTCTCTGTTTCTGTGTCTCATACACACAAATATGCAAACACCTTGGCTTCTGGAGAGATGGCTCAATGGTTAAGAGCACTGGCTGTTCTTGCAGCGTACCTGGGTTCAATTCCTGGTACCCACACAGTCACTCATAGCCATTATATATATATATAACTATATATATATATAACTATATATATATAACTATATATATAACTATAACTATTCCAGAGAACCTGATACCCTATTTTCCTCCACATGGACCAGGAACACATGTGACAAACAAACACACCTGAAGGAAAACATTCATACAATAAAAATCAGTTAAGTATTTTAAATATTTTTAAAAAGAAAAGAACTTTATTGCTACAAATTTAGTTTAAAATTTATTACCTAAAACTAATGAAAATTTCTGTACTATGGTAGATAGGACAGAATTTGACTTCCATTTGTAACATGCAGTGGAAATTTTAAAATTAAATAATGTGATTCATGTAAAAGGATGTAGTAGTTACAAACTATAGTTAGAATGAATGGCTATATACACGGTAAACTACTATCTTCCAGTGTGTAACTTTCTATTTCCTCATTGAAGCTTAGTCACCGTCGAAACATATTTTTATTTCGTGTATCTATTTCTCTATTTGGGGGTACAATCCACGGCACTGGTGGAGGTGAGAAGACACTTTATGAGAACTGGTTTTCTCTGTCCCTTGTGTGGGAACCAGGATTGAACTCAGGTCCTCAGGCTTGGCTGCAAATGTCTTCACCTGCTTAGGCATCTCCTCAGCACTGAATTTCCTATTCTTATATCTAAAATTGTAGCTCCATATTTTAAAGAAAACAAGCTTGAAAATCTGTTTACAACAACCTATTATGCACACATATATGCAAAACTCCTTTAGTTTCAATTTGGGGTTAGGTAAAGATGTTTAAAAAATGAGCAAAATCTCTATTCTCTTTAGTAACATGATTGTGTATTTAAGAATCTTATTGCCACAACACACACCTAACTAGTGAACTACTTGAATAGTGCATTAGAATATAATTGCACTTAAGTAAAGAACTTAAATTGGCTTGAGAGAATAGGCAATAAGAAAGGGGAGAAGGAAATCATAGTAGAAAAAAGAAGAAGAAAGTGTATACTTCCAAATGCCAAATAGAAAATCTTTTGTATGTTGTATTTCGTGGTAGAAAAGGCCACAACACAAAGGTATAATTTTAAACATTCCTCCTTAACAAAATTAATCAGTAATTAACCATCTACTTCTTGAAAACATGCACTCTTAGGCTATTAGGAGACAGCGTCATTATGCAGATGCCACATGGCAGGCATGTGGGCACTCTGAAACATTCATGCTGTGCCACAACCTCCTGATCTTAATTAATTAGGTCATTTATGGCTATGACATTTCTCTTTGCCTTGTTCTACTTTCATTCTTGGGACTAAGAGAAGATCACAGACTAAGAAGTGCTAGACCTCTGCTTGTCACAGCAAACACATTCTTCGTTTGCAACAGATGTTGTGGAAGACTTGGCTTAGTTTGCTTTCTCTTGCCGTGGCAAACACCGTGACCAATAGCCACTTGAGGTTTTACTTCAGCGTACAGTTGTAGTCCCTCATGGAGGAAAGGCAGGAGAGAATCACAGGGCAGGAGCCTGGACGCTGAAGCCAAGGCAGAGAGGCCTTACAGGAACCCGGCTTGTTCCTCCTGGCTTGCTCAGCATGCTTTCTTAAAAGCCCATGGCTGCCTGCCCACGAGTGGCATCATCCTTAGCGGGCTGGGCCCTCTCACATCAGTCATTCAAACGGAAAAAGCATCACAGGTTTACCTTATTCACAGAGACATTTTCTCAGATGTAATTCCCTATTGCCAGATGACCCTAGCTTATGTCAAGTTTACAAAACAAAACAACAAAACAGAGCAAAGCAAACAAAACAAAACATATAGTAGTCAGCAGACTCAAAAGTAAAGCATAAAGAAAACCATGTATTACTGTTTTCATTAGAGGATTTACAATTATGGCATAGTATGTAGACTAAAGTGATTATAATTTTGAATAGTGTATACAGTAAAATATTATAATTTGGAAATAAACTTGAAATAATATGACACTCCAGGAGTCTAAAACTATCTGAACTCATAAGCCATTACACATTGAGCTTCATGACCATATGTGACCATAAATAATATTAATATACTGACATGATAAGGGACTAATCAGGAGGCTCCCATTCTACATTTTCCTCTGTGTCTTCTCAGAGACTAGTTGAGTCAGTTTCCTCCTCAGCTCTCTGCCTCGCCCAGCCTATTTATGCTGAGGTCTGTTTTTACAAACATAGTGACAGATGCTCAGAGGAAACTATAAAATAAAGAATTGTAGATGTTAAAATATAAATTTCTGATTTTTTTTCTATAGATTTAAAAAATATGACAGCAAAACATACTAATACGGAAAGTCACGAAAGGTTCAGAATAGTTTGAAATTCACCACATTTCATTAGAATATTACAAAAAAACAACAAAATTAAGCAAACAAAAGAACTGATGGGTGCTTTGCTCCTGATATGTGTCTCTATGTATGGTTGCCAAAATTGCTCTTCCTCCTATTGCTCTTTCTCTTTTTCCTCTCTTCTTTGCTCTCTTCCATTCTTTTTAGAGACAATGAGAAAACAATTAGCTTTTCCCCTTTATGTTTGGAAGTTTCCCAGTTTTGCCATCTTTCGTTGCTGAATAATTTTATGATTGCCTCATTTGGATTCAAGCCTTATTACTAGAGTGAGCTGACAATTGGTGCCGATTAAGTAATTTCCATATGTTTTCCTGACTTTTACAAGAATGTATAAGATAGCCTATGCATTTCTGCAGCGAACCATCTAATCTTCTCTGACATGATGACAGGAAGGACAGCAAAGCAATGTCTCGGTTGTTTCTCTTTGCAAAACCAGCCTAAGGGCAGGCTAGTCAACGGGCTCTATTGTAATTGTCATTGACAATAGCCACCTGGTCCCATGAATTACCTTTCATCTTCTGCCGTGGTGTCTGCCATTAAAAGTGTACTGGGATCTGAGACAATAAGTGTGTGTGTGTGTGTGTGTGTGTGTGTGTGTGTGTGTGTGTGTACATACTGAGCACTTCAGAATAACATTTGTCATTTATATATTAACATAAAGTTGGTAGCTGCCAGAGGAGAATAAAGCATGGCAGGTTGCTCTGAGTTTAAGAATTATTGTCTTTGTGTGTTAACGCTGTTTTCCCAGGAAACTCAAGTTTGTCTTCTAATTAACGTTGCTGAGGGCGCGGGAGTGGGTCTGGTGTTAAGTTAGCTTAGATTCCTGGAAAAATGGTGACACACTGGTGCAGTCTGGTAGAAAACAGCGCGTTAAATCCTGTGCATTTTTCAAAAGATGCACATTTCAATGGAAAAGCTTTATGCAATTAAGAAAATCCCTCGAGCTTAGTTCTGTACAGCACTTTCTTTTTGTGCAGTTAGCATTCGGTGGAGGTGATGTGTGTGGAAGGTGTGTGAATGACTCAGGAGCGTTTGTTTACAAGTATGAGATCGCTGTGAATCTAACCAAACAGGCCCCTTTGCTTTGTCAAAGTCCTCTTTGAAGCCTCCTGGGAGAAGGAGGATCATGTACACCAAGAAAACTGCTAAAAACTATGACATTGTTTCCAGCGCATTCTATCTTTCCTAGAACACGTGATTTTTTGGACATGATAGATGTTGCACATGCTTCTCGATTTGGCGATGAGAGTTGAAACTGAGAACTTTAAAACAAAACATCATTTTAAAATGATTAAACAAAAAAAATCCTGGGATCTCCAAATCGATGAGCCTTATCATAAACTAAATAGGGTGCAGTCACATGACTTAAAAAAAATCCTGTTTCCTAGTGGTGACAAGCATTACACGCTTTCTAACATTCTTCCTGCGCTCAGTTTAAAAAAAAAAAAAAAAATCCAGTCAAGTTTCTGCAGCAGGGACTCCCTCCAACAGCCCCGAGAACATAGGAGCAGAACTCTGAATCAGGCGCCTATCTAGGACCAAAGTTTGGTCTGGAAGATCAGAAGGGCGTGATGGACGGGGCAGGGCTGGGTGGCTTCCCGGCGGTGGCCGGGTCCCGGGAGCCGCGGTCCCAGCCAAGGCGGAGGCACGGACACCGCCGCAGCCTCTGCTTTCCGCTGGGCCGGGCGAGCCGAGCGTCCAGGCCGACAATGCCCACGCAGGTTTTAAGCCTGGATGGCTGTGGCCGAACCCCTGCGTGCGAAACCCAGGCCAGGGGCCGCCCCTCACCGCCCGGAGAGTTGATATGCAAAGCAGTTACGTCAGATGTGGGGGCGGGGCACACCCGGTTGACGGGCAGCCCGGCTCCTGCCGAGGGAGGAGGCGCGAGAATCAGCCTGCTCCAGTGAGTGAGACAAACTGGACGTGAGCGGAGCTGGTGCTGTCCACAGTGTGTCGGTGCTGAACCCGGGCTGTGCGCGCATCGCCTGCTTGGGCACCTGGAGGCAACGCCCACGGGAGCCCTCTGTGCCCGGTGGGACCCGCGCCACCAGCAGGACCCATTTAACTTGACAAAGGAGTGCGACTCGGACGTGGGAGAGACTCCTGTGTTTGCAATCTGGGCGCCCACTCAAGCGTGACTTTGGAGATTTCTGTAGTTTTAACTCTAAGTATTTTGATTTTTTTTCCAACCTAAGACGATTTTTCATCATCATTATTTCTTCTTCTTTTTAAAACTGTGACTCGTATTTCCACAACGTTTAGGAGTCCTTTTGGGGACTTTATTTTTGTTGACTTAAGGTAAGAATAGAATATTGTTATAAATGATTGCAAGTGGGTGAGAAAAACAGACAGCCGTGCAAAAAAATTTAAAAATAAGTTATGTTTGTTTCTATGATTTGAGAGAGGACTTTGGCGATAATTGTAAAGAATTTAATAATTTGGGACAATATGAGACGCTCTTCTAATAATACTGAAGACAGTGATTATTAAAGTGTTAGAGAAGTTGAGAGCTGTTTGTTTCTGTGAAGTTAATGTTATAATACATGTATATCACTTTATTAATGAAAATATTTTAGGTGAACACTTCTGGTGGGGCTTGGGTTAGTAAGGGCTCAATATCAAGCCCACACATATGTGTGTATGTCATAAAATTCTCCAAGTTCTTTATAATACATTTAATTTAAAAACATATTTGAATGACCTGTTACCTGGCTAATAAATAATATTTTCCATATCCAGAATGTGGACTGCGAAATGCGGAGCTTGTTAACATGTACTGGAGGGAAGACGGGAGGGATAGGAATATTTCTGCCAGGATGGCTTCATTTACATATGTTGTTGTGCTGTGGATGCGAATAGAACTCCTGAAACTCAGTCTGTGAGAATTTCACACCCAAGGTCGTGTGAATTTCCAAGTTGGGGACTGTTTGTTCTTCTATTGACTAGTGGGTGTCATCTCTCCCCACCCCCTCAGGTCAGAGGTGAATGTAAATGAGATTTACTGATTTAATAATATAGTATTAGCTTTCATTATAGTCTTGACTGCTTTGGTGATTGAATAGAGCAGGTAAGCTTGGGTTGAGAAGCCGTCTTGCTGTTTCATCAATTTTTAACCTCTTGCACGCTTAACAGAGAACATTTTTCTGCATAAGAGGTTTCATTTGAAGCTGTGTTCCTTCTGTCATTCGGCAGTGCGATCTGAGTGTGTTTTGCTGGGAGAACTCAGTGTGGATAAACAGGGAACAAGGCTATTTGGAGTGAGCAAATGCTAACTGGTGGAAGTTACTCGGTGTTCCCATAGATCTTGATATTGCTCAAGCATGTACTAAATAGCTGAGGTTTGTCTTAGAAATGGTATTGTGAGTCCCTGTTTATGCCATCCCGTGACTTTACATGAAGGGAAATCATGCCTGGATAAAGGCAGAGCTTGCTTCTTCACATTTCAGGGATAGAGTTCAGGTTGCAGGTAGGTGTCTCATGTTGATTGGAATAGCTAAACTGTAATGCTACTTCATGCTTAACTGTCTGAACTCACGAAGGGTATGCTGTACACAGCATCATCAGATCATCGGGTAGTAGACTAAGTTCATGTATTCTGGATTTTAAAATGTCTTAAGCATTTGCACTATAGTTACATTAGAGTCACTGGGATGAAGTTTTGGTACATATGATGTTAAGTCATTCATCCAAGCAGAGATTTTTCATTGTATTTACATCATAGCTTCTAGGAGAGGGACTGTTACAAGAAATATATTGTTGCAGATTCTCCTGAGTAAAAATGACTCTCTTAAGTTGTTCTCTGTTTCCATCGTAACAAATATTCTTTGGAGGATTCATGTTATTCATTTGATCCTGTGTTTAAATATTCATAAGTAATTAAAATTTTGAACAAGTAGACACATAAATTCACACCATCTACAGCACAACAATAAATAAGAATCATGAAATATCCAGGAAGTTTTGATAAACATAACCTTGTTTTGTATAATTGTTTTTCATTACTATTCACTGTAAAGTTTTCTTTTAAAAACTAATTATAGTGAAACAAATATTTCAATTTGGAATTTCAAGTAGAATGGTGGTTGCTTTCATATTTATTAATCTTGAGACATTCCTGCATACTTTATTTCTACAACTTGCTTGAAAGGCAGTCATACTTGAACCTTACATTTATTCCAATGTTTATGAGACACCATTGGTTTTTGTTTGTAGAAAGTTTTCTGTCCTTATTCAGATGTAAATAATCATGAATATCCAGTGTTCTTACAGATGAAGTTATTATTATCGCAATTTGATATTTAAATAAAGCTAAAACTATGTTAGTGGTAATTATGACGTTCTAGGTCACTGATAAGTTAACTAAACCAATTCATTGCTTGACTTTATACACATTTAGCTTTTATGTCTTAGTTATGAGGTAAGATAACTGGGTTCCCATAGTGTGCCCAAAGTTTGCACTTAAAAGATCTTATTTCAATGGAGAATAAAGCACACAGTATAAACTAATAAAATTACCAGATTTAAAGGCACTGAGAAGACAATTAAATGTGGTAATTCACTAATTGCTCTTCCAGAAAATAATTATAATTTATTGCATACATTATAAATTTATATTTTAAGTTATTCAAGACAATATAAAACAATATTTAAAATAAAACATTAGATATATTATTAAAATAATAACATCATGACAGAAACTATGCAAGTGCAAGGCTATTTACTTTAAAGTGATAACCTTTAGCCGGTGTGTAAATTATTGTTTTATCTAAAAATGCATTGAGGTAAAAATTAAATAAAAAGAAACTTGCTAGGTGGATTTATTTTATTTTTATACATATATGACAGACTTCTATGTATATTTTTGAGACTGAACATAAGTATTATGTTCCTAAGGAACTTATATGTGCTGTTAGTCCTTCATATTTTGCCAAATTACTATAGTAATGCTATCACATATGATATTATAAAGCTCAAAATTTGTGGTGAAGTAATAGGCCAGGAAAACACTTTCCATAGTTCATCATTTTACCATCCAGGTGGCCAATTATCCCTTCTAAACAATCTTAATCACCCTCTGACCCAGGGACACCATGGTCTTTTGGGTACAGTTTCCTTAAGGTGAAATAGAGGGTCCCTTGTGGAAAACTACCAGTGTTCCAATTTAATCGCTGTACATACCCAAGTAATTTATCCCTTTGTGCTTTAAATCAGCTTAGTATTTACCAGAAAATGTTGTTATATGGGTTGGAATAGTGTTTTGGTAAATCCAGGGCTCCTGTGAGTCTTAACATGAGGGCTTTGAAAGAGAAAAAACAAACAATGTCATTGGGGGTTAATTTAATGAGAGTCACTGTGTCTGTGTGTGTGTGTGTGTGTGTGTGTGTGTGTGTGTATGTATGTTTGTGTGTGTTCCCATCTCTGCTGAACTACAATAAGCATGGGGAGAAAAATGATCTGAAAGATGTGAGTTCAAGATAAGCTGCTTAATACAGAAGTAATAAGAATCATAGGCCTTAATAAATTATGTACTTTTGCTTGGCAAAATGTGTCTTCTAAATTCTGTCATGTTGAAATTTAGATTAGTTTACTTGAGAGCACATTAGTTTTAGGAGGGGGATTTTTCACTTATTTATTTTTGGACCAAAACATTTTTCAGAAACTCTTAGAGTAAATGGCAATAGAAAATTAAGTAATTGTAGAAATAAGTAAATGGATGTGTTCACAATGAAGAAGTTATATAGAACATATGAGAAAATACACTTCTGCTAAATAATTTGAAAATTATTTCATGTAAAAGAAAGTTATAAAATAAATAGATGTCTTTACATCTTCTGATAATAAGTCATATACTTCTAAAAGAAAATGGCCTGGACATTCAAAACATGAAGTTTTACTTCTTATGCATGATTGTTTCTTATATATTATTTGGTAAAGAAGTCTAGGCTAACTCTGGACTTTCTACAAAACCAAGTAATTAATATTCCTTAAAAGTAGCTTTTGCTTTCAAACAATGTAAATCTATAAGTAAAGTTGCTTAGTGAGTTTACTTGAACATCAAGACAGGAATATTATTCTACCACATAACTGTCGCATACCACTGCCAACAATTTTAAGACATAATGAAAAAGACTTAGAAATACTTTGTCACTGTGTTTTATTTCAATGTACTAATTATAATTGACAATTAAGGGAAACATACTACACAGATGCTCCTTGCTAAGTAGCACCAATGTAGCAATTATATACATACAGTAACAATTCAAAAATATCCAGAAAACTCACTCCTCATAGATGATCAAATGAAAGTATTTTACCTTTCCAAAACATTAGCTGTGGTTTAAAAAACTACAAAGGCCCTTTTTAGTCTGTAAAACCCTATAATTTCTTTATGTTCATAAAAAAACCATGCCTCATATTTGGGGATCATGTGCTCTGAAATCTGTATTCTTATGCCACAAGCAAGGATCAGGAGGGCCTGAGCTATCTTACTAAGGAATGAGGAGGATAGCCCTCCATGTTTCTAAGGCAAAACCTCGGAGATGCTGACAATAGTTTCACTTGCTGCTCCACCATGAACTACCTGTTGATATTTGAACCTGTGTTCTGGGAAGCAGAATTTACTTATTCATCTCTGAAAAGAAACACACACACACACACACACACACACACACACACACACAAACACACACACACGCACACACCATCCACTCTCAAAATAGAAACCATCTTTATTTTAAATTTATCTTAGGTCACTTTTATTCATCATGTCATTTAATAGTATCTTGTTTTTGTTTATTTGGTTGGATTTTTTTTGACACAGGGTTTCTCTGTGTAGCCTTGGCTGTCCAGGACTAGTTTTGTACACAAGGCTGGCTGCGAACTCAGTGATCTGCCTGCCTCTGCTTCCATGAATTCTGGGATTCCCTCTGTGTGCCACGGTGCATGGCTACATTAATGTAGTAATATTATGAAGACTGGAACTATTGTCACTTTACATAGAAAACCAAGAAACTTAAGTCAAACACTTCCATAATTTTTTTTCTGAGAAAAAGATAGAAAATTTTTAAAAAGTTAGAGGATTACTGGCTGTAAAAGAAAGATACAGGTTTATTATTTCCTCCTTATCATCTGGTAGTGTGCCATGTCTACATACATACATACATATATATACGCACATATATATATTTAATTTTTTGTTCCTTGTGTATGACTACGTTCATGTACAGATATGGTAAGTTTTGGAAAGGTGAGTAGGTTCTCCCTGAGCTAGGATCAGCAAAGCAGGCTCCTCAGACCAT